TGTAGAAGGTAAAACCTCTTTGGAAAGGCTCGTATGTTTCGAGCACCGTTGGCGCTGCCTCGTAGGATCGTCCATGCATCAGCCACAAATTTGTCATGTGTATATAGCAACACTCATCCAAATGAGATCAGCCATTCAACCATCTGATCCAAGGTGCCACGTTCGTCCAATGTTGTATCAAAACATACAGTCTAAAAAAGGGAATCGTTTGGCAACGGCGCACCGGCCGAAGATTCGACCGGCCGCGTCCACGCGCAAACGCGCCCACGCCCCGCCTAGTGACACGTAGGATGGGGGGCCCACCCACGTGCGTCTTCTCCCTCCTGCCTTTTCTCTTCTTCCTCTCGGTTATCTCTCTCTTCTCTCTCCCTGTTGCCATGGTCAACCCGTCACCCGCGCCGGAGGCCTCCCAGGGGCGCCGCCGTCATGGGAATCAGCCGATCTGGCCGCCCTCGACCAGATCCGCGCGGATCCGCATGCATCGGAGCTCTGCCTACCTCGCCGGAGCTGCAACCAGCCATGACAGGACTACACCCCGCGGCAAAATTTTGCTGGAACCGGTTGTAGCAAATTCAATCGCCGATGGTAGCAAAAATCTACTACGGTTGCAGCAAAACGGCGTCATCGTCATCGCGGGGTCGCAACTGAGATAAGAAGTTTGAAGCTTTTTTCAATGCGGTTGTAACTTTTATAACTGTCGGTTACAAGTTTTCGTTTTTCGTCCATGGCTTCATTTCCACGGTTGAAACTTTTTGTATAGTCGGATGAAGCTTTTCCTGTCACCGGTCATAACTTTTCTTGGTCATCCATAGCTCCAGTCGTATACTGGTTGAAGCTTTTTTCGTAGCCGGTTGAAGCTTTTCCTATCGCTAGTTGTAGCTTTTTTGGTCGTCGGTTGTAGCATCGGGCATCTCCCCCGGTGCTCGATTTTTTGTTGCAAGCTGCACGCCGGGGATGAGCGGCGACGAGCATGCCGATGAGCTTCAGTCGTCGCAACCGAAGCTACAACGGTCTCAACAAGAGCTTCAACCGCGGGGTGCGGCTGTTGCACGGGGCAAAGCAACAAGGACGATCGGCGGTGGTTGGGGCTGGTGACTAGGATGGTGGCCGGCAGGGACGAGGGCGGACGGCTGCGATGAGGACGGTGGTCGGCGAGACGAGGGTGGACGGCTGCGACGAGGACGGCAGCGTCGTGGACGAGGGCGACCGGCGAGCTGGCTGGCGTATGGGAGATCACGAGACAGTGGGAATGAACAGACGACATGACTTTTTTTTTACCAGCGAAGCAATTGGGGAAGAAGCAATCGTACGGCTATTATGGAACGTATCGTACGTCCACGGTACGACCGGCCGTATTGTTCTGCCGGCGCATCGGCGCACATCAGTGCCCCTAAAAAGACCCTCTAGATCTAACGTTCAAAATTATTGGATCATTTACTAGGCCAATTTGAAACTATGCAGCCCATTATCTTCTAATGGATCAGGCTCAGCCCAATTCTTACAGCCCGAAGCTCGCACTACAACAAGCCTCACTGCCGTCTGCTCCCTCTACCACCACTCCCAGCTCCCCACCGAAACTCTAGGGTTTCCCAACCACCCCCGCAACCGCAAACCCCCACCCAGCCACGACTCGATCCGAAAACCACCACCCCACCACCACCGGCGATGTCGACGGCGGCGGCGCAGGGCGGCGAGAAGCCGGCGCTCAGGAAGCCGGTGTTCGTCAAGGTGGACCAGCTCAAGCCGGGCACCAACGGCCACACCCTCATCGTCAAGGTCGTCAGCGCCAACCCCGTCCCTGGCCGCGTGCGCACTGGTGCGCCCGCCTCCTCCTCCGCCCGCGCCCCCCGCATCGCGGAGTGCCTCGTGGGCGACGAGACCGGCTCCATCATCTTTACTGCCCGCAACGACCAAGGTGATTGGGTTGCCACTCCTTGGCCTTGCATATGGTGCCTTTGGTAGATTTCTTAGGGCCCGGTCTTCTGGCGCTAGTCTGTTTGGATTCGTAGATGATGGTTAGGTCCTTCGAAATTTGTGTAGCTTTATAGTGGCGACGATAGGATAAGAGGTGTAAATCTTGTGGTTGTCACTTCGTTTTACAGTTTAGGCCATCTGGCCATATGTTTTATGGTGAATTATCTGGATGGTTGGTATTACAATTTTAGTAGTCAAACTGCAGATTATATTTTGGAACGGAGGCAGTACATTTCAGATGCCAAAACAGCATGAAAGGGAAAGCGCCTTTCTGTGTACAAGGCACTACAATTTCCCAGCGTTGCGAATCAGATTACAAGTTCCTGGTGAACGTTTCCTGCACGACCTGAGACAACCGCCAGGCCCGTTGCCACAAAATGCGGCGATCAGTATCTGCCCAGTAATTTATCCAATAGCTTCTTAAAAATTTCTCTGCTGAAAATAAACCAGTTTTTGTTGGCCTGTACCGATTGAAGAGAAGCTTGTCCAACATCGTCTGAGTTGGTTTGGGCATATTCAGCGCAGGCCTCCAGAAGCTCCGGTGCATAGCGGACGGCTAAAGCGAGCTGAGAATGTCAAGAGAGGTTGGGGTAGACCGAACTTGACATGGGAGGAGTCCGTAAAGAGAGATTTGAAGGATTGGAGTATCACGAAAGAACTGGACAGGGGTGCGTGGAAGCTTGCTAGCCATGTGCCAAAACCATGAGTTGGTTGCGAGATCTTATGGGTTTCACCTCTAGCCCGCCCCAACTTGTTTGGGACTAAAGGCTTTGTTGTTGTTTATTGTTTGTTTGTTGGCCTGTACAGAAAATTTATTAGGTTTCATTCGGAAGTAATTATGAAAACTAAATAGCAAAATTAACTGATGGATAGTTGATTAAAAAAGGCTGCATGCCAAACAAAAGTAGTTCACTACCATTACCTGCCATTCTACAGTTCTGCTGGCCAGTGGCCATCTGCGCAGTTGGATTGACTTGGACCTTATATTGTTTTCCCAATTTCCGAAACAGCACAACACTCTTTTCCAATCTTGTATTGTGCTATTGTTTATTTGAATCCAAGTGAGGGTACTATATTTCTATATGTGCAGGTGGTGCATTCTTTTTCAGTGTCCACTTGAGCTATTATTTCACCATATATGCATGAACTGCATCTGACAATATTTTTGATACTAGATCTTCCTTTGTCTCCATGTCTTCAACTGGAAACAACAGTCTGTCATACCATATTGATAGTACAAATTTCTTTTTCCTTTAATGTCATGCATCACAGAGAAAAGCATCCTAATAGCTTCACTTCTTTCATCTGTTAATTATAAATTGCATGGTGAACTTACAACCCAGTGGCTATTATAAGCAGCAGTAGGACTACCACCTTTTGATGTTATGCATGCTATCATTTTCAGATCTTATACATCTTCTTAGTTGCTCATGGTCATTGAAGAGTATAGGGGATGGGGTCATGATTCCTACTCTATTTCATGATGATGCATGTACTATGGACTGATGGTATGCTCTTCCTGTGCAGTTGACCTGTTGAAGGCTGGTGCTACAGCCATCTTGCGCAATGCTAAAATTGACATGTTCAAAGCTTCGATGAGGCTTGCGGTGGACAAGTGGGGGCGGGTAGAAGCTACAGAACCTGCCAGCTTTACTGTGAATGAAGAGAACAACTTGTCGCAAGTAGAGTACGAGCTGGTTAACGTGGCCGAGTAATTGTTGAAGTTTCCCTGCCCTTTTCCCGCCATAAAAACGAAGCACTATGAATGAATATTGTCAAGCCGTTGGTAAGCTTGTTTATTTCTTATGGTGGTAGTAGATAAGATCAAGATTGTATCACTTGAGCTAGAATGTTCGATGGATCAAACTGAGCTTTCCATGCATCTTACTGGATTGTGATTCCTCTTGGCACTGCTTGTATTGCTGTTGTAATGGAACAAGCTCAGCGTGGCGCCATGTTGCGCTGAGCTTTAGAGATCAAACGGAATGAACTGCCATTACATGTTGTGTTGAATTGCTGTTACGTTGTGTTGATGTTATATTTGCCGTGTCCAGAACAGAATTTTCGTGGAGATCCGGTAAAACAACAGTCATCTGCTGTTCCAGACATGTTACGGCTATAAAAAGCAACGCTTATGTTGGTTAAAAAAAAGGCAAGGCCAACACTTTTGGCGAACGTGCTCAAAACGAAACTAGCGGCTGAGGCAAGGCCTCAGGCAAACATGGCTCCCGTCGCTGGTCACCGGCATCCACGGTCATCGGAGGAGGCAGAAACTGCAGCAGCCGTCGCTGCCGGACAGGATGGCGAGGAGGAGCCATCAGTGGAGGTGGCGTTCGCGGGCCAGCCGCCACCGCCGTGGTGGCGGCAGGTCACGGTGCGGTCGGTGGCCGTGAGCACGGTGCTGGGCGCCGTGCTGAGCTTCATGTCGATGCGGATCGGGCTGACGGCCGGCGTCGGCCCGACGTTCAACATCGTGGCGAGCCTCCTCGGCTTCTTCGTGATCAAGTCGTGGACGCGGCTGCTGGCCCGCTTCGGCGTCGCCTCGCAGCCCTTCACCAGGCAGGAGAACGTCGTCCTCCAGACCTGCATCATCTCCTGCTCCACCCTCTCCTTCTACGGTATCGTACGTCCGCCCGTCCACGCACACGGCCATTTCCACCAGGTTTTTGCTCAGCCGGCGGCCGTGATTTTGCATTTGCAGGTGGTTTCACGACCTACCTGCTCGCGATGACCGAGACGGTGGCGAAGTCCGCCGGCGGGACGGGCACCGGCAAGGACGTGTACACGCTGCACACCGGGAACGTGGTGGCCTTCCTCGGCCTCGTCACCTTCGCCAGCCTGTTCTGCACCCTCCCACTGCGGAAGGTGATGAACTCATTTCCGATCACTATTTTGATCCATGCCTTTGCTATAAAAAAAACTGAGACATTTCGCCATTGTTTGGCAGCTCATGATACTGGACTACAAACTGATGTATCCATCTGGTTCAGCTATCGCCGGAATCGTCAACAGCTTCCACACGCCAGCGGGAGCCGCAACAGCAAAGTAGATACAATGCCATTTTGTAACCTGCTGGCTCTTCACTATGCCGTTTGTAAGCTTAACCGGCACTAATGTTTTCTCTCCTCCCCTCCTTAGGAGGCAGGTGCTGGCCATGTCCAAAGCCGTTGTTGGAAGCTTCATGTGGGCATCCTTCCAGTGGGTTTACACGGGAGGGAGCGGCTGCGGCTTCCAAGATTTTCCCTTGTTCGGATTGAAGGCATACAAGCAGAAGTTTTACTTCGATTTCTCCGCGAGTCTCGTCGGTGTGGGCATGATCTGCCCTGTCCTCATCAACTTCTCCATGCTTTTCGGATCTATCATTACCTCCTTCTTCCTGTGGCCAACCCTCCAGAGCAAGAAAGGGGACTGGTACAACGATCCTTCGCCGACAAATTTCAGGGGAATCAATGGATACAAGGTTAGTGACAGAATTCCATCTGAACTTCACCGTGGTTCGTACTTGATCAGATGTTTCAGTCTTCGCACTTCGCTGACCATGTTTGCTGCTTCCATGAAACAGGTGCCCATGGGCATATCGATGGTGCTCGGGGATTGCCTGTTCCAACTGGGTTCAATCACCATAAGGGCTGCCAACCACTTCCACATGAATCGCCAGCAACGGAATCCCGGCGGTACCAACATACCAGCCGATGGAAATTCAGATAAACAAACAGCTCTTAGCTACGATGAGCGTCGCAGGAACAAGATCTTTCTGAATGAAGGACTGCCGGGCTATGTCTCGGTTGCTGGCTACATCCTCTTCGCAGCCGTCTCAGCAATCTTTGTTCCACGTATCTTCCCACAGATGCGATATTACCATGTGGCCTTATTATACGCTGTCGCTCCCATCTTGGCATTCTGCAATTCATATGCTTCTGGACTGTGTGACTGGTCCCTGGCATCCGTCTATGCGAAGCTTGCTATATTCCTTGTTGGGGCATGGGTTGGTGAAGCATCTGGTGGCGCCATTGCCGGTCTTGCTGCCTGTGGTGTCATGTTGATGATCATTGGCAATGCTGCTGAGCTCATGCATGACTTCAAGACAGGATACCTAACACTCACCTCGCCGCTGTCAATGTTCATAAGCCAAGTAATTGGGACTGCACTTGGTTGCTTGATCAACCCGCTTGTCTTCCTGTCCTTCGAAAAACTTGTTGGCAAAGAGCATCTGGGAGAAGCTGGATCGGTATTCTCGGCGCCCTTGGCCACCGCATACCGTGGGCTCGCAGTTTTAAGTGTTGAAGGAACCAAGATACTCCCAAAGCACTCCATTGAGTTCTGTATAGCTTTCTTCCTTATGGCCTTTTGCTTGGATTGCCTGTCAGCAGTAGCCAAAGCAAGGAAGTGGAAGGCAAGTAACTACATTCCAAACGCCATGGCTATGGCAATTCCATTCTTAATCGCACCGAATATTGCAATAGACATGGCCTTGGGGAGTCTACTGTTAGTTATCTGGAAGAAAACAGATAAGAAAAACGCAAATATGCTTGCAGTTGTAGTAGCATCAGGTTTGATATGTGGAGATGGACTTTGGGCATTGCCATCAGCATTACTTTCAATTTTCCAAATCGAGCCACCCATCTGCATGAAGTTCTTGTCTAGTCATCAGAACAAGATAATGCGGGAGCACTTCCTACCCAAAGTGACTACCTCACGATGATACAGACAAGTACTGACAGAAATTGCTTGTAAATGATTTCAGATCATATTGTTATAAAGTTATTTAGTGCACAGCTACACATGTGAATTCCTTGAGTCGCATACTTGCCTTTTTGCCTGTGTAATTTTTTTTCCAGTGTCTGTAGGAGCATTATTGAAACAATGATGTTGTACAAGATAAATGGGATTCATAAGTGAAGACTAAAAGGATCAAAATATGCTTGACACCAAGCCACATTGCCAGTAAAAGAAAGGGAACAGGCTTTTAATCACCAGATCATGCTGACAAACCAAACAAACAGATACAAAAGGTCAAGCATAGTATTCATTTTGCCAGCGATTCAAACTTCTACACCCCTAGCACGGTTCTCATCACATAACCATAATGATTCTGGTTAATGAAGATGAAGGTGGGAGAATGAAGTTTAAGCAATATCAAACATCATTTATTAAAAATTTCATCGTAGTACACATACAGAAAAAGAAAAGCATGCTTCCTTTCTTTGTCAACTCATCCTGAAAGACTAGTAATCTCCTGGCTCCGTTGGCAGGTCAGCATCATACCCCATCAATTTCAGCTGTTATCCAACAATAATAACTCATCACGATAGTTATACAAATTTAAGAAGAATGTATAAATTAAAACATTACATATGCTACTTTTCCAGGGTGTTTCATAGTACTCCCTCCGTAAACTAATATAAGAGTGTTTAGATTACTATTTAGTGATCTAAACACTCTTATAGTAGTTTACAGAGGGAGTACGTCATAGCCAAATGTTAAAAAAATCAGTTTCTCTACGATATGAACGGAAAAAAACAAATAGATAAAAATTCCCTATGGAAATAAATCGTTATAATACTGTATACTCTATGTTAAGAAACAGTGCCCTGCAATTTAGGGGGGGCTCAAACAGTATACTAGGTGAAAAAATCGCTACTTAAGGCACAAAGTTTCAGCGAGTTGTCCGCTTAGAACTTTTAGATATTTGTCAATTTGTTCTCTTCAATACTGCCCCAGTCAATAACTAGTAACACCTATCATCATTTTTTATTTTGCGCCCCAATGCACAAATTGTAGATCATGTAACTAAAATATGAACATATTCATTCTTTCCGGTGGAATTAGGAGCCTTAATCACTAAGTTTACAGGAAATCCTCCAATAATAGGAACCATTATCATTCCTATGTTTTATGTAGTAATTATTATCTATCAATTGTTAAACATGGTTTTAAAAGGTGTAGGGAGTCCCAGAGAAAGTTATGATTCATATAGCAATAAGTTGGCACGGCAGCACTTCTACACATACTGGAGCAAGGTTTGGTAGTCGTTTAAGATTGGTAAGGGACATAACATTTACTCATATTTCAACGAAATGGTGGAGATATTTTAGTGGTCACCTTTCCCAAGTTGGTCTTCATCTAGTTTCGTCTTTCCCTACAACAAAGAAATAAAAAGAAAAACAGAAAAGTGGGTCTCTTTGGTCAATAAGACTGGAAACAGGACTGGAGAATGATGTTAACATGAAACTAAATGCTGGAAACACGGCCAGATAGAATTGTGGATTGCATCCATTGATTTGTGTTTGAAAGTTCATATAGTATGATGCAGATGTTGAAGGAATTGGGCGAATGATACAGAGAAATTGTTATGCGCATTTGGACCAGTGTTAACCAAGACTAAGGTAGTGCAAGTCAATGCTCTTATGCACACTGGGATCAACTATGGCAGGTTACTGCTACTACAACGTTTAGCTTGAGTTGGATTGTTGGTGACAATAGGCACACTACTGACATATGATTCATATCAAAACAAATCTACTGTATTGTCTCAATTACACCGTAACACATGAATTTATATACACATTTTTTAGACTAATGTACGAATTAATAACAGATTTGAAGGGGAAGAGTAGTTTCAGTTTCACCTTCCGTGAGCCACCCGAGGCCTCGGCCAGGCACGGCCAGCATAGATGTCATCCGCGCCGCTGCGGTGGCGCTGTGCAGTGGCAGCAGCGACTCCACGCAGAAGCTCGCCTCGACGGGCGACCTGCACAACGAACAGCGCCATTACAATCATCAGCCCACATCTGGCTAGTTGAGGGGGGCACGGTCGACTGGTGGCCGAGGTCGTACCTGAGGAGGCGAGGGGGCGCGCCCAGCGCGCGGCGAAGGGACGGCCGCGCCGCAGAGGAAGAGGCCCTCGCCGGAGCAGCGCGGAGGAGAGAAGCGGACGAGCGGAGCATCGACCTGGCGGCGGCGGCGGCCATCGTGGCTGACTTGGTGAGACGGGAGGAGGAGGAGGGGAGAGATGGTTTCCGGCTAGCTAGCGCTCGAGTCACACAAACAGACGGAACCAATGTGGGTGGGCCTTTCATAGGTCTGCTCGGTCCATTTCTTGTTGGGCTGTTTGAGATGGGCCCAATGGGCCCTTAAACGTTGAGGGTAGCCCAGTTTCATCCTGTTGTTCTACGGCCGCCGACCCTTGCTTCGTAGCGTTCTACTCCTCTCTTTTGTTTCCCCTCGACGGCGGCGGCGGCGGCGGCAACCAGGGTTTAGAGGAGGAGAAGCTTGCTCGGCGCAAAACCCTAGCCCCGCACCTTCATCTACGGATTCATCGCGCCTCTGCAGCGCATCCTTGCCGAGTGCCCCGCCTCGCTGCATCGGCGGTCGCGATGAGGGTGAAGGTGATATCGCGCTCGACCGACGACTTCACGCGCGAGCGCAGCCAGGACCTGCAGGTGAAGCCCTCGTTGCATTCGTAGTTTCTATTGATTGTGCTCCCGCTCATGTCGGTTGCGACTCGTTGTTCTGCATCCGGTATAATCATCATACTCGTACTGTAGATATGGTAGGATAAGAAGCGAGAGCTGTTTCCTAAGCATGGAGTGCGTTTGCGTGCAGTTACAGATGTTGGTAATACTATCATTTTATCCAGTTAAATTGATAGGCCCCCTTTCAACTGAAAACGAAAACAAAAACGGCCGAGTTCTCTTGAGGGGTCGTCAAATTGATTCCCTTCTGCTAGAGCTATTTTCCCCTTCCCCCAGGTTGGGGGAACATCTTAACATTTTATAGCCATCAGATATCTAAGTCATGTATCGACTGAATAATACTTCTGGCGGTGTGTTAGCATGGTAGCTGCCATGTAAATTGAAACATTCACAATATAGCTGTTGATGCTATATTCCCAGGTTCAAGTCTGTGTGGTCACTTGCTTAGGCCTTTTATTGTATATTTTGTGCCAACAAATGACAATCTCTATTGCATTTGTTACTCCCAACAGAAAGTATTCCGCAATTATGATCCAGCACTCCGTAGTCAAGAGAAAGCTGTTGAGTACACTCGAGCCCTTAATGCTGCAAAGTTAGAGAAGGTACGTCTCATCTTCCTTATCTGCATTTATGTTTTATTTTTACTGTATATTTTCATGCGACTTATGCTGCTCCCCATTTCAGATATTTGCCAGGCCATTTATTGGAGCAATGGATGGTCACATTGATGCTGTTTCGTGCATGGCGAAGAACTCCAATTATGTGAAAGCTATGTTTTCTGGCTCGATGGATGGGGGTAATTATCATACTTCTGCACTAGCGTGCTGCTTTCGTCTCTTTGAGTGTGTTCAATGCATTTTTATTTGCTCCTTCAACGAACTAGCTTACTAAGCTCAATGCAGTAAATTATAACATACAACCTTTCACTGTTCTGCTTTTTAGTTTGCACCTCAGGGGTTGCTAAATATTGTTTTTTTTGCCCGGATGCATTATAATCTCGTATGGAGCTCAAAGTGAACTCTTGCCTCAGTCAACATGACTCACTTTACATGTGAAATCTAGAATATGACCTGTAATATTTGTGTGCATTTTCTCTGGGTTGCTAAGAATACTTTATGTTGACCAATCAAGAGTATCATCTAGTTCTAGTGATCTGCAATTTATGTGTTGTGATCCAATCGTATCTGATGGTAACACACTAAAATGGTAAATTCATAATAAATTGTTGTGTTCTTAATATCATAGCGTTCTCAGGAATTGACATCTGGAAAGGGAATGGTTCGTGTGAATGGCAGAGTAGCCACATTGATGTTACTGCCAATTGTAGTGTTGGCACTTGTTTAGTCATTGGTTGAATTGTTCAGTTAACTCAGGATTCAAAGAGTAAGAAGCTCTAATGCTATACTCCCAAGTTCGCAGAATTTTTTTGCTTTCGGCATTAGCATTGCCCTGAAATGCATATTTGAGCACTAATTTTTTTGGAATATATTTATAAAACCTAATTTCAGTGGAAGTACTTGTTCAAGACAAATCTACACATATTGTTTTCACGTGTCCAATCTATGTGCATGGGCATGTGGATAGGCAGTTTGTAATTTTTGGCTGCATGTAACCAAAATGCCAGAATGACCAGTTTATTTGAACCGGACAGAGTATCAGTTTGAGTGGCGACACTTCGAGTAATAATAAATTTGTTAGTACTGGTTGAATGTTTTGTCACTGCTTTATTATTTTTACCCGTTTCTAGTGAATATATAACCCTGCCCTGTTTGTGAAACTATCGCATGGCTGCCAACCCCCTTGTATTATGCATTTGCAAGTAACATCTGCTTTGTTACGCTTCAGCAGTCTGTGTGATCTGGCCACTATGTGATACCGATTTTTTGGTTCAACCTTTCTAGTATATCTTTTTTTTATGAAAAGGGGTTTACCCCCGCTCCATTTTGTTAGAACGAGGCACCTTTCTAGTATTGAAGCTGATGTTTTCCCTTCATTTATTTAAATTTACATAAAAAATTAAGAAGTCTCAGTTATGCATTACCTTATTCATCTTCTGATCAAGTTCAAATTTGTACTGGAAGTGGTAAACTGTGCCTGTTGTTTTGTTCACAGATATTCGACTATGGGACATTGCTGCAAGGTACCGCCGATGAAATATCAACTGAGCTGTTTGAAATAGTTTACTACAACTTGTGACTGTAATTTTAATTTCCTGTGCAACAATAAAAACAGGAAGACAGTCTGCCAGTTCCCTGGACACCAGGGTGCTGTGAGAGGTTTGGCAACATCTACCGACGGCGATCTTCTGATATCCTGTGGTGTTGATTGCACGTAAGTGAACTTGTGGGTGCCACTTCTTTTTGCTTATTAGACACAGATTCAATTCAAGGCATGCAACTTAACCCTTGAGGTGTTCTCTCACTGCTTATGTTTTGCATTAAGTTGGCTCTAACCCACAGGTGTATTAATGATCACCATGTCCCAGGATCTGTTTGTTATCTTTCTTGAATATATATGTGTAAGGCATTTTGTGTAGGACTTGAGCTTTATCTTAAAATTCCCACAAGATTAAGCCCCATTAAACACAAATAACAGCCCTTTTAAAATAAGTTACTCCCTCCGACCCAAATTAAATTGACGCAGCATTTTGTGTAGGACTTGAGCTTTATCTTAAAATTCCCACAAGATTAAGCCCCATTAAACACAAATAACAGCCCTTTTAAAATAAGTTACTCCCTCCGACCCAAATTAAATTGACGCAGCTTTAGTACAACTTTAAGTTGTACTAAAGCTGCGTCAATTTAATTTGGGTCGGAGGGGGTAATATAGGTTAAGAGCAATTCCAGTGGCATACTGACTTATGCGTTACACAGGCAAAAAGTTGTGGTAAACCATTTCAAACAGGTTTTGAAAATAATAATTAAACTTCACTTCATCAAAGTCTACTTCTTTAAAGTGTAAAATACAGAAGTGGATTTGTGAATATGTATCTGTGTCCGTGATCTTACTATGCACTTATCCATCTATTGATTGCAGTGTTCGACTCTGGAAAGATCCTATGCGTAAGATGATGGACACTAATGATGCTATTGGAGATGCTTCCCAGGTGTGCACTGAAGGGATGCATTACATTTATTTTGCACTATCTATGTTGTATGACATCTCATTTCCTTACCTTGCCACTGTGGTTTACAGCCGTCAGCAGTCTATACATGGAAGCATGCATTTTGGTGAGAGCACTACTGCACTGCCCTGACTTATTCCAGATTCCTCTCATCTTCTTTGCTGAATGGACCATTTCTCTTCTGATGAATTTTAGGGGTGTTGACCACCAGTGGGATCGTAATGTTTTCGCAACTGTAGGTGCTCAGGTAGATATATGGGACCATAACAGGTATACTATCTGATAGCCTTTTCCCCAGCATTTTGTGTCTTTTCTACCACCACCAATGCTAATTCATTTCTGTAGGTCGGAGCCAATAAATACCTTCGAATGGGGTAAAGATACAGTTCTTTCTGTGCGGTTTAATCCTGGAGAACCTGATGTTTTACTTACATCATCTAGGTAATTTTAGAACCTGATGTTTTACTTACATTATTCTTTAATTTCCCCTAAAATTCCAGTATTTGTTGCTAATTTTCTAATGATGAATGTTGTAATCCGATATTTTGCTCCCCTTAAAACTTCTTTTTCCTACTAAAATAGGATTTATTTATTTTGCAGTGATCGGAGTTTAACACTTTTTGACCTGCGCATGTCATCCCCAGCTAGAAAGTTAATCATGAAGGTTTGTTGAATTCTCTTTATTTGTGGATCCTTGTAAAACCTAGAAAATCCAAAATAGATAGAGCATGCTAACACTATTGAGACTTTGATGCACAGAGAACATTTGCTTTGTTCTCATATGCTGTGCACATAATGCCTACCGTCTCGTTCTGATTCCCTGTGCTCAAAGTACATCAGCATTTGTTCATCACCGAACGGCATGAAGTATAAGTGAGAAAGACCAACTAAAAGTTGCCATATGATAGTGGGCTGTGTTAGTTTTAGTTCACTATTGCATGATGCTTCATGACAAATTAAATTGATAATAAGATCCTGTTGAGATCTTGGTAATGGTATTGCTTAAATTTGAGTAACTCAAGCACCGATAAATACAGTGTTTTTTAAACTAAATTATGCTTGACTTAGAAAGATTTCACATACCTCTTTCCCATCCCTTTTTTGGTGTGTAACCAGGATTTAGAACTCTTAAGCCTACTTCAACAAATTCCAAGTTGGTGTATGATTCTGATATTAATTGTCTATATGAAAGGAATGGGCCTAATACACGCAGCAAAAAAGATCCAAAGTGAGCTCTGAATAATGCATTACGTGATGATGATGTATGCTGGGTCCGTATCCCACTGGGAGTGAGGTAATTATGGTCCTAACAAAGAGTGAAGAATATAAAATTACGGTGGTTAAAAAAATAGAGAAGTGCAAAGAATATACTAGAAAATAGACAAACACTTTGTGGGAACCAACTTAAAACTGGTCAGTTTCTGGCGGGTTGGAAGAAAGAACAATGGACGGTGCATTTACAGAACACATAGAGATATCCGCTCTTCAGGAGAAATGGTTATGTGTCATTTCATATGCACTGAATTGTAAGAGACTAAGAGGTCCTTGCAAGGTCTTGGATATATTCATCTCTTGTACATTTAAAATCTATTGACACATCTTTTTAGTTGCAACTTTGCCCTTCTGAATTAATCCTTCCTGTCTTCTGCGGACACATTAATGTCACCCTCAATATCAACATGTGATCTTGTAAACACAGTTGTGAGGAGTATCTTCAAATTCATTGATTTCTCTATTTATTCTTCTTCAATCATCTGGCATGCCAACTCATTAGAGTCATTTCGCATGAACATTCCAGATTTTCAGGACCTTCTTTTAAACCAACCCATTTCAGAATCTTAAGCCTATCTTTTGTTCTGGAATTTATTATCCCTAAAAGTAACCAATTCGATCAGGCCAACACCCAATGGTGTCCAAAATATAGATCTAGCACCATCTTCTGCCAACTAATTTAATTTCTTGTAATGTCAACCATATTTGATCAGTCAAAATTTGCATGTTCTCGTTCATCATACTAACTTAGTTATTTTTAATGCTCATATAATTATTTGGGCACCTTGCTGAATATTTATTGCTTTTCTGCTCTATCTTAGTAACCACTAAGCATAGAGAGTTGGAGATGCTAATGTATTTGTTTTATGCAGACAAGGTGCAATTCAGTTTGCTGGAACCCTAGGGAGCCCATGAACTTCACTGCTGTAAGATTGAAATGTCAAATATTTTTGTTCTTGTTATATGCTTGCGCTAATGAAGCAACTTATATGATACTGTTCCAGACTGGAAGATATATGAATTTTTGTTTAAATTTGAGCTTTTGCATAGCTAAGAACTTCTGTCCTGATTCTTTTTGTTACTAGGCAAACGAAGATACAAACTGTTATTCTTTTGATGCTAGAAAGCTGAATGAAGCCAAGGTTGTTCACAAGGGTCATGTTTCAGCAGTGTAAGTATTATTTGGAAATACAAATATCTAATGTCCTGTTTAAAGTACTCCCTCCGTTTCTTTTTACTCCGCATATAAGATTTGGTCAAAGTCAAACTACACAAAGTTTGACCAAATTTATATAAAAAAATATGAACATCTACAATACTAAAACTATATAGTATGAAAATACGTTTCATGGTGCATCTGATAATATTGATTTTATATTGTGAATGTTTATATTTTTTAATATAAAGTTAGTCAAACTCTACAAAGTTTGACTTTGACCAAACCTTATATGCGAACTAAAAAGAAACGGAGGGAGTATAACACGTGGATGTATGTAAAGGTCAATCCCCTAGTAGAGAAAATGAGTGAATATTATATAGATCTGTATGTTAAGTGCATGTGCTAGCATATATGCATATCTCCTGTCAATATTATATAGATCTGTATGTTAAGTGCATGCACATGGACAAGTTCTAGGATATATCAACAAAACTGAAGCTGCAATAAGGATTTTATACATGTGGTGCTATTTCATTGTAGTGTCAATGTGTCATTGGACTCACTGAGATGTGCAGTTCCTGCCTTGCATTATACAATGTACATCTGAAAGCTATCATTTCATGTAGTTCTGCATCAAGCCCATTGGCAACATACAGTATTCTTTTCCTTTTGAATTTTAGAAGTCAATTCTTACATGAGTTGTGTTGTCAGGATGGATGTTGATTACAACCCAACAGGACGGGAATTTGTTACTGGTTCCTACGATAGAACGGTATGTGCCACTTTTGTAGATCCAAGTTCATACTGTACCATGTATAGGTGATTTTTGACAATTTTTTTTACTGCTTTTGTAGGTACGGATCTTCAATTATAACGGTGATCATAGCAGGGAGATATACCATACTAAGAGGATGCAAAGGTTTGTTTCTATTATTTATTTTCACTCTTCCTTGCTTAGTTTGTCTACCTGATCTTAAGCCCAAACTTCAGTATGGTTCCCAACTTTTACCCCTCAAGCCTGTTCTGCTGTCGGATACCAACCAGATCAATTTAGTGTCAGATCAGTTTTGATCTATATCTTTTGAGTGTTCAGAAATCAGAATAGACTTTTCAATTCAACCAGTTTTACAGTTGAATATGTTGCTCTGTTGAGACGTATGGAGGTTTGAGAAGTACTCCCTCTGTAAACTTTTATAAGAGCGTTTAGATCACTAAAGTAGTGATCTAAACGCTCTTATAGAAGTTTACAGAGGGAGTACATTTCAACCTGATGCACAGCCATATAACCATGGTTCTTGGAATCAGCATGAATATAGCAGTTCTGATACATGGCATTTATATATTTATTGGTTTTTACCGTTAGCCATCTTGTTTATTTTAGACCCCATGTCTATCTTTAACAACTTGCTTTTATGGAATTTCTGTTCTGTTGTAACCAATTTACCCATACCTTGGCAGGGTGTTTTGTGTGAAATACACATATGATGGGACCTATCTAGTTTCTGGCAGTGATGACACAAATCTTCGTCTGTGGAAGTCCAAAGCTTCAGAACAATTGGGAGTTGTAAGTTTTCTACTGCCATCCGGTGTTTGCCAGTTGTTGCTGTCTCGTATGTTTACTACTTGCTTCAGTTCCATGCCATATGATTGAGCTCACATGGATGCCCAATGAAGTAGCATAACAATAAACGTCTGTTGTTGACATCCTCTTGTTCCTTCTGTTTAGCATCATCATATTCCATGACTAGACATAAATGATGTACTCAATTAAGAATGGCAGAGAATCAGTAGTAAATGTGAGCATATTAGTGACCTTCAAGTCACAGTTAGTTGTTGTGCTTTTGAGATTCAGTTATGGGTTAAAAAATGCTCAGCTAGGTTAGCGGGTAAAGACTTTTCACGATTGAAACTTGATAATTGTTCATGAAGGTATGGGTTTGCCTTGTTCTCTGACACTTAGCGTTTTACTTTTGGGGCTGATGGACAAAGGTCCTAATGGTCTCACTTGTCCTGAGAAGTGTTTCTACTTGAGTGTTTAAGGTCTTCTATTATGTATAAGATGTTTCGACAAATATTTTCTGCAGATTCTTCCAAGGGAACGCAAAAAGCAAGAATATCTTGATGCTGTCAAGGCGCGGTATAATCACCTTCCAGAAATCAGGCGGATTGACAAGTAAGCTACTATTTCTTGTTCTGAAAAGTGTTTCAACTTGATGGAGCATCTTGTTTTCGTTTACCATCATTCTGCTGATGCTGCATGGATGATGTGTTGTTGCAGACATAAGCACTTGCCCAAGCCGATCTACAAGGCAGGCAAGATAAGGCGCGCCATGATTGAAGCAGAAAGCCGGAAAGAAGAAAGAAGGCGAGCGCACAGTGCTCCAGGGAGCAGGACTATGCAGCCCTTCAGAAAGAGAAGGCTCATCACAGAAGTTGAGTAGGGTGGGATCTGACCATCGCGAGGCCAAACAAAGTGGCATTACGTTGGAGTATTATTTTTGGTCGAGTGTGAGTGATGGGAAGCTGGGAACATATTTATTATGTGTAGTGTCATGTTGTTACTTGCAAACCTTGGACAACGTACCGGATTACTTTTGAGAAGGAAATAAAGAGGACTTGTTGTATGGGCGATTCAGCGATGCTAATTTGAGTGTAAGCTCACCATGCCTTCGTCAATCAGTCTCTCTGTAAAAGTCTGTAGTATGTGCTGTGTTATTCTCCATGGACGCCTTTATGCCAGCACCTACGATGGGTTATGTGTCGGCTGTCTCCTAGACTAGATGGCGACATTTGGTGTACGCCAACACGTGAAGTCTGATTCTGTTATCTTTGTTGTTCCCGTTATCAATGGGGAGTTTGCTGATTATATTTCTCATACAGATGCAGAGCTTCTATATTTGTCGCATCTTGAATTTATTTGCATCGACCACAAATGTGCTTACTACTAACATTTTTCGCCCCCACATTATATTTCCTGGTACAGTGTATGCGGTGTTAGTAGTACGTTTTTCACATTTGATATCATCATTTGTGCTCACAAAAATTATTACCGAAAAGCTTGTTTCTGCATGCAGATACAGAGTTTCTGTCCTATATTTGTCGTGTTAATAAAGACGTTTCTCACATTTTGCAGAAATATGCAATTGCATTTCCACACGGAGCATGCATGCATCATTGGTTATTCATTTACCAGTCCAATAATATAAGTTTGTTCCATCCCAACAATATAGACGCAGCGCTCGTGTGTGCGCACAGCGCGCACGCACACGAGAGGAAAAACCCAGAGATCCATGTCAGTGCACTCATACAGACACACCCAGGACAATACATTATTATAACTATGAGTATTAATCTACACGCGCACGCGTACGTCGACCAACCGGCCGGTCGATCAGCCATACGTATGCACGTAGGTGCAGACGGACGAGTAGTCGACGAGTTGTGTCACCCAGAGAGAGGGGGGAAGCAGCAGCAGCATGACGGCTCCGGCGCCGGTGGTGGTGGAGACGTACGTACTCTCAGGCGGCGCCGCCGCAGTTCGTTGTCGCCGCCGGCGGGACCTTGGGTATGCCTTGCTTGTGCAGCTCCGACATGACGCTGTCCAGCGACGGGGGCTTGAGCCCCAGGGGAAGCGGCAGCCATGGCTTCACTAAAACGTCTCCGATGGCTGCGTCGATGCTCTCCTTGGACTGCGCAATATATATCGGAGATTAAACACATATGATTAGGGGCACGTTTGTATTTCTTGCGTGCACTGATTAATCAATGGATATCTACCTTGGACTGGAACACCGTACCGTGTCCGTGTACTATAGTGTGACTTCAGGATCAGAAGTACAGTATAAATTAATGAACCATCAGCCGTGCCTATGTACTTACCGGGTGGGCGTCGAGCTGAAGCTGCAGGCCGGCGACCTTATTGCTCTGCGGCACCGGCGACGGCGGAGGCGGGATCGGTCTGTACATAGGATGCGGTACCATCCCCGGCATCGGCGGCGCAGCAAACCTCTGCATCTGCACGCGCGCACACACACAGGTAACCATATTAGCCACGCAATTACCACAGCTGCTTCAACGTTAACGACTGGGCAAATGATTCATAGTACTAGCTACTAGTTTAATTACCATGGCCGCAGGAGGCATCGGCGGCGGAACGCACTGTGTCACTGCCTGCGGGCCCCATTTCCTGGCAGCCTGAGCGAGGAGAAAACGGTAAGCCAACCGGTTATTACGAACGCATGCCGCCAACACATGCAAAGCGAAAGAGCCTAGTCACGTGAACGCGGGAAGAGGGAGACAGAGGCGGAGCAATGTAGTAGCGCACGCACGTTGTACTGCTGGTGCCAGTAGACGGGGTCCACCGGCGGCTGCTGCGCCCACGCCGGCGGCGGCGCCAGGTGCCGCGGCCAGACGGGCAGCATGGACGGCGGCGACAGCGGCAGCGTCGCGTCGACGCCGGTGGGATGGCCCCACACGTGCAGCGGCCGGCAGAACGGCGGCGGCTGGCCGGGGTGGTGCGCCATCCCCGCGTGCGGCGGCATCGCCCCCGGGGGCGGGAACCCGACCGTCGGCACGACCCACGGGCCGCCTCCCGCCGCCGCGTCCTTCCTCGGCCCGCCGGCCGCCGCGTACATCTGCCGCTTCTGCGTCCAGCTCGCCGCCTCCGCCTCCCTCGCCATCAGGTGCTTCCTGTGTGACCTGTACTTCTGCACTTGCACGGAGGACATGTAATCGCATTAATTTCGGTTTGAAACGCAACCGCATTAACTTTGAGTCTTCCACCACAAATGCAAACTCATAGTACCTTTACTATTTTTAACCGTGTTAATAATTGTTATTTTAAGTCGAACAAGCCACACTCCCTCAAAATAATAATAATTCAAACAAGCCACACATCATGGAATATAAAATTACACAACAATCAAGTGCTACTTTAAGCCTCCTTTGGTTTACATGAATTCTGAAGGATAAGAACTTTGTAGGAAAAAACATTTGGCCCTTTGATTTGTACTCACACCGTCCCATATTGTTAGACGTTTTTGCAAGCTCACAAAAATGTCTTACATTATAAGACGGAGGGAGTAAAAATGAATTCCTGTTCCTATGTAGGATAGAAACCAATTATTCACATTTCAAAGTAAAAAATCTATTAGTCTGGACTCAATGAAAAAGATCCTATTCTATGAATAAAATGTTATCTCTTTTCTATAGAAATTGAGATATATTTCATCTCACTTTCTATGATTTTCCTATTCCTATCCTATGAACCAAAGAAGACATTAATTAGATGCAAAAGCATGCAGATGCTCAGTTACAAAATTGTAAATATAACGTTGTCTCAGTCAATTACTTCCTCCGTTCCTAAATATTTGTCTTTCTAGGCATTTCAACAAGTGACTACATACGGAGCAAAATGAGTGAATCTACACTCTAAAATATGTCTACATACATCCGTATGTAGTAGTAATTTGAAATGTCTAGAAAGACAAATATTTAGGAACGGAGGGAGTAGAAATCATTTTCGAGTTTTCAACTCAGAACCAGGAATTTCTCAGCCAAACAAATACTCCATTTTTCCCATCGATTCTTTCTACCGTGAGGAGCAGATACAGAATAACGGTCCTCAGAAAAGTAGACACCCCCACAAATCATATATAGATCATTTTACTCACCCCTTGATTTCATTTTCGAATAAGCCTCCACTTTTTAGTTACAGGATCATACAAATGTTAAGGTGTAGTTTGTGCTTCAAATGTTGCCGTGTTTGGTTTGTTAGCTAAACTGAAAAAATACCACGAAACTTAGATTGAAAAAGTTAGACTATCACAATTAATCCACTGTACCTCACTGGTTCACTAAAATGCATAGTAATGTAATGCTCAGCTAGCCATCTACTCCTCCGGTAAAGAATTATAAGTAGTGTTCTAAACACTCCTATATTTCTTTACAAAGGGAGTAATAATTATTTTATGAGGTGGAAGAACTTATATATAGAGTTGTATGCAATTTACAGAAAGGTATTCCCTCCGTGAACAAATATAAGACGTTTTAGATCGTTAAAACTAAAGGAGTAAGAACAGATTGCCGAGATCTGGATCTCTATCGCCTGGTGCCAAAGCGGGACGCGCGTGCACGGGAATTCGTGCGAGGATATGGCCATCTCGCTAGAAAACGGGCGTTCAGTACCGGGCCGCAGGGAGTGGGAGTAGTACATCCATGCACGGGCACTACGGCGGTGAGGAACCCGGCCAGCGGCGACATGGCACGCGCCCGCGCTGACTAGGGCAGGACCGGCCGGGGCCGCCCTCCCTCAAATCCGTGTGGCGTGGGCAGTGGTCACCCGTACGGCGTGGTGGCGCCCCCCTGCGCTGCACACCTTGGCGCCTCCCCGTTGCACGGTTTGGGCAATGGAATATCCAAACGGGAACGCATGCATGCATGCATGAGCACGGCGTACCGGATAATTTTTGTTTGAATGAATGAGCGAGTGGTTTCACTTTTGACACCCCGCGTCTGCGTGCATGTGTTTGTGAAAGCGCTGCCAAGGACTTGCATGATTCACGCATGGGGTCACATGCATGCAGGCATGCATGCCATGCATATGGCGTAGTACTACTAGTACAGTGCGTCGTCGGTACGTATGTATACGTAGCGATGATAATAATGCTGTAATAATGTACACGAGGCCGTGAGGGGCTGGGGCTGGCGGTTGCAACGTCGTCCGTGCCTGGACAACGTATGGCGACAATGCATATGGGCAGGCACAGACGTACATATGTTGCCCAGACGGCCAGATCTGACTGTGCTGCCTGGAGCTGGGGATGGATCGAGTGCATGTGTGTACATGCTCGTGTTTGTCTTTGCGCTAGCACCTAGCAGTGGCAGGCACCGCGTCCGTCCGTGTGAATTTAAAACTCGGCCGACGATTCGATCCTAAGAATACTTATGACATATTTAGATGCGTTTTAGCAAAAGTGTAGTTAATCTGCCGAAATAATGCATGGAAAGAAACGGACCTGGAGATGGCTGGCGATGTTGTGGCGCGTGAGGCGGTACTCGTTGCCCATGAGCTCCAGGATCCGCGACGGCACCGCCTTGTCCAGCCCCAGCTGCTCCACCGCCTGCACGAACCGCCGGTGCAACTCCGGCGTCCAGTCCACCTGCCATTCATTCATCGTTTGTTTAATCAATCAATCACCAGCCATATATAATAAGCACGAATTTTATTAATCAAAGAGCATCATTTACATGCTTCAGAAGATTCAGGGCACTAAATGGAACTACTTTCCTATGAGCTTTGCTTACCCTAGAACTAGCTAGTACCGCTAGTAACAGAGAGACGTACACGCACGTACGTATAGGCAGGAGAGATCACAGACAAGACTTTTCATAGGCGCCGCGTGTGTGAAAATCTGCACCGAAATAAAGGGGCAAAGAGCAGCTATAGCTGCACTGTTTGCTGCTGCTGTGTGTGTATGCCACTGTTACCGTGCGCTTCCCGTGACGCTCTCCCTCTCTCTTTCCCTGCCGGCCGGTTGAGATCTATCCTATCCGCCCGTCGTCCCAAAAAGCTGCCTGCACGGGGATTTCCATGGCCTATTCATTGCCGCGCAACATTTCGGTGCAAACCTCCCTCCCTCCACGCGCCTCTCCTATCCACTGATGATGTTACCCAGCTTTCAACTACGTACGTACCGACGCAGCAGCCGCGCGCGCGCGTCAAAGTCGATCAGCTGCTCGTGCTTGCTAGCTCCTCGCGACGGAGGCAATCACGAGCTGCTGATTCGCCCCGGCTGTACCATGCAGGGCCAGGGCCATGCCCCGTGCTGCTACGACGCTACAGCTAGGCCTCTCGTGATTTCTTGGGTCCTGGGTCAGTCAGATCTGCTGCCTGCCTCGCAGGAGATGTCGTCGATCGTGAGAAAGATTATGTCAGAGTTTGCGCCAGACGGGCAGCTGCAGTGGATCGTGATGTGCAGATCGATTGGACGACATAGAGTTTATCCCTTTCTTTCGTTCTTTCCCCCCAACCCCATGCGGTTAAGCATGCTTAATTATGGATATACCATGGAGCTAGGGCTAGTGAGAGAATTCAGGCAGTACCTTCACCTTCCGCCTGCCGTGGGAGCTCTTGGTCGCCGCGGCTGCCGACGCGGGCTTCGACGTCATCTTGCTGTGCCCCTTTGCCGACGCCGACGACTTGCTGTTCTCAGACCCGACCGCAGCGGAAGAATCGTCCGTCGTCACCGCGCTGCAAACCTCATCGCCCACGATGTTGTTGTTGTTGTTGTTGTTGTTCTTGTTGTCGTGCTGCTGCTTCACATCTTTCTCTTCCGACGACGACATCAAACCCTTCGTCTCGCCCTTGCCTTCTGGTAGTTCCATGTCCATCTCTGCCGGTAGGTCCGTTTCCACGGCCGTCTTCGCCTCGTCGCCATGGTGGGTTTCGCAGCTGTCTGGCGCCGGCTCTGCCGCCGGGCTCAGCACCGTAGTCGTCGCCGGCTCGTCGGCGAACTCGGCGAGGAGCTCGGTCGGGTCGACCTCGAGGTCGGGGAGGATGTCGTCGCCGTCGTCGACGTGGAAGAAGGGCATGTCGCACGTGCTGAAGTCGATGTAGTCCAGCAGGAAGTCGTCCTCCTCCACGGTGGCCTCCGGGAACCCGACATCGACATGGTGGTGGTCGCCGAGGCTGAAGACGGCCGGATTAGGGCTTTGCAGCGTGGCCACCTCAAGCATCCCAATCTCGGCGTACGTAGCTCGTAGGATCGGCGGAGACGGGAAGGAATTGACTTGGAAGTAATCTTTGCACCAAAAACCACTCCAAATCTCAGCTGGCTTGACGATGGCAGCGATCTCGATCGGTGGGTAGATGGAGCTACGGGCTATATAGCCAGTCGGCTATGAACCTGGGCTTGGAGTGGTAGCAAGATCGGCAGTGCAGTGCATGAGCAGCAGGCAGGCCAGGTAGAGCTCCCTCCAATGGAGATCTCCAATGGATAGGAGGAAGAAGGGAGGAGGGACGGATGGGGAAGGAGGTTGAGAGCAATGGGATGGACTAGCTAGTTTGGTGGTGATTTGGGAGTATTAGAGGAGCGAGGAGGACGCATGTCCACCACAAACCTCCTTGAGATTTCTCTCTCCCCCCTTTATAGGGTCTCTCTCGCTCTCTGTCTCCTTTCTCTCTCATAGTCATAGGGTTCCTCCCCCTTCTCCCTCTAGCACACACGCACACATCAAGCTGCTCTGTACATTATACACCGACTGCCAGCGAATTGTATGCATGGATGGCGCATGACACCAAGACTCCGAGTGTTTATCTGTTTCACCTTATCTCAGTGACCCGCAGACTGAATTTGACTCAGAAATAATTCTCTGTTGTGCATGTGCATGCATACATGCATGCCATATGGTGCTGGCGGATTTGTCGTCCACTATATTCTATATCAGTTTTGTTAAGTCTCAGTCGACTAAGACTTCGATATGTCTTGATCGGTACTATCTTCCTTTGATTTTGCATGAACATTCATGCAAAACAATTCTTCTCAGTTTTTCTTTTTTCTTCTAATATGCTATATCACTTGACTGAGACTTGGTTAAGTCTCAGTTGACTGAGACCTAGCCACACGCCCACACCCATTCTACATAACTTATTGCTACTCATCATTGTTAAGTACGGCAACGGTATTATTTTGGAGAGTAGCGATTTGGGGTTTTCAATTGAGGAAGATTTAACAGAAATTGACAGAAAATGACCCTTGTCGGAAACTTGAGGGAAAAAGTCCTCTCGAAAAACTTTATCTTGTTCTTTTTCATAAAAAAGCAGCTTGCCCGACTTTAGATTACTGAAGCACTTAAAGGTTTTACCATTTTAGAGAGAAGTTCAGGCTGCAACAGATACAATACAAGCTCGCGAAAGGAGCAAAGGCCCTCAAACGGATACACGATGGCCGACGGGGCGCCGAAGCCATACGAGGCGTAGAGGAAGCTTTCACCGAGAAGAAGCTTCACTCAACAACGCCGCATGCCTCTAAGGCTCCTAATCTGTCGCTCAAGGGTCGACGAGTCAAGGTTTTGCACAACGACTTCCTTAGTTGCAAGAAGATAATCATTTTGTACAAGTTGTCAACAAGAAGTTTAATAAAAGACCCATCATTGCGAGATTAATCACAAACGTTCCATAAGGCCCATGCAAGTGTCGCAAAACCAAGCCGAGTCAGCCTCCAAGTAGTCTCTGAAAGTCCACACCGGAGAAGGTGGAAATAAACAGACTTACCTCGTGCCCAGGTACACTTAACCATTTCTTGGGGACATCCCCATAGAACTTGGGCAAGAATTCAAGTGAAAAAATGTGATTGAAATCTTCATCTTGCCCACAAAGAGCACACGTCCTATCCTCAGTGTCAGGGTTAAATCTGGCAGATCTTGGGCAGGGGGTCCCGAGCTGGTGACCTTAGCTAGATGGTAACAAGATGAACAAGGGACACGATGTTTACCCAGGTTCGGGCCCTCTCGAAGAGGTAAAACCCTACGTCCTGCTTCTGTTATATTGACTGTATTGGAGTACAAAGTACATGATGATCTATCTCGAGATCGTATGTAAATGTATGATTCTCTACCCTATGCTCTAAACCCTTTGGCTTATATAGACACCTAGGGTACCTAGGGCTACATGTAGGCCGGTTACATCTAGGGTAAACACGCCGAAGATTCAAATATGTCTTGAGTATGCACCAAGTCTTCGAAAGATTCCATTTTGAGCACGCCAAGGGGCATGACAGTCTTGACCCATTCATTGATGATCCAGGGGTCATCGGCCATGCTCACTAAAGAGGGGCCGACGTGGTTTGCACCCCCTAGTCCAGGACAACGGCAATAGCCCATGAACTGGTCTTCAAGCCGAGGACATTGAACTCCTCGGAGAGGCTTTGTCTTGGGTCTTCGGCTTCGTAGGCGAGTTAACAATCTTGATGTTCCATCTTGTTTACACACTCCAGGACTCCCTTGGATCCGAAGTCTCTTGTAAATTTGATAGGTTCATACTCTTCGACATCTTCCTCTATTTAACCATGTCTTTCAGTCCGAAGAGTTAGACACTTCGGTCTTTTGAGGAGGTCCAACCCATAATCCCCATGGAATGCTTTTATTCTCATCGGATTCGAAGGCTCGATCCAAGCTTCGATAGCTTAACCGCAAAGTTTTGTTGTGCTGGCATGATAGGTCAATTGGGTGGTGTTCTAAAAACTTTTAACCGAAAACAGAACTGTTGCCGCAGATTGTAGAACTGAAAGGTCCCATCTATAGTCATTGTGCTGAATTTACCATGGCCCTAGGCCGTTTCCATTGGCACGTCCCATCAATAAAGGATAGTGCTCCGGATTTTCGACGATATCATTAACAAAATCCCTCAACCCATGCGCACACGTAATGCACATCGTGGTTGGGAAGCGGCAAAAATTAGCGCACGACATGGTGCCCCTTGGTATATTTACCAGCTTATAAAAGGAGTTGGATGAATCTAATTCATCCTACACCTCCCCATTGCTTCCAGCATTCGAAAACTCTCAAGCTGCAGCGCCCAGAGAGCACAACCAAACCCCACCGTTCATCCTTTTCCTCACCCCCTTTTCCATCCCAAGAAATGTCCGGCAAGGGAAAATGCGTCGCCGCGGAGGTAGCGGAGGTGAAGGCATCCAACAAGAGGGGCATGTGGATGGACTCCACCGTCACCGCCGGCAACATCACCGAGCTTCACGCGGGCGGCTAACTCCCATCACCGAACGAGGTCAAGTGCCGCTTGCCCCTTGTCAGCGACGATATCTACTCCGCCTCTGGAGTCCCAGAACCTCGGGAAGGCGAGTGCATCGTGTTCATATCCCATGTCATCTGAGGTTTGGGTTTTCTTGTCCACCCCTTCCCCCAAAGCCTTCTATTCATCTACGGGATCCAGTTCCACCACTTGCCCCCAACTCCATCCTCCATAATGCCTCGTATATTGTGTTCCACGAGGCTTTCCTTCGCATCGAGCCGCACTTTGGATTCTGGCTCAAATTGTTCTATGTCAAAACCATAGACCAATGGCCGCAAGATCACCGAGTGCGGGGCAATATGATAAGCAAGCTTCATAATGTCAAATTTCTGCTAGTCAAGTTCATCAAAATGGTGAAACAATGGCAAGAGCAGTGGTTCTACATGGTTGACGTGAAATTGGGGAATCAAGAGGGTGTTCCCGCCTTCTCGGCAGCACCCTTGAAGAGGCTGCACTCCTGGACCACCAAGAGCCTCAACTGGGGGAACCAGGGGGAAGTCCGAGAACTCCAGGACTAGGTGAAGGTCCTTATCAGCAATGGTCTGACACTGGTGGAAGTGATCCACATCATGCTCCACGGCAGGGTCTAGCCCCTCCAGACCCAAGCATCCCCCCTATGGATGTTTGAGCCAAAGTTTTTTCAGGGGGAAGGACCTCGAGGGATGTTAACCATCCTTGTCAAGCCCTCGACAAGGGAGAACACCTACCAAACCAAGGGGGACGACATCGGCTACTACCGAGCACATCCAGCGACCGAGGTATGTCAAGTACCCACTGTTAATTTGTGGTTTCAATTTTCTTTCTTACTCCTTGACTAAGTGACTAAGTTTTTTTTGCTTTAATTCACGGGAGTGCCGTGCATTTGCTAGGTCAGTCAAATCATTAGCACCTCAATGGGGGGATCCTTTGAGCGCCAATCTAGAGAAGTTGCTGACCGAGGACCCATATGTGGTCACGATTAAGCCAAATAAGACCAAGCCCCCCAGGAGGCCAAGGCAAGGGCCTGGCTGAAGGAAATATGCCCTAGAGGCAATAATAAAGTTATTATTTATTTCCTTATTTCATGATAAATGTTTATTATTCATGCTAGAATTGTATTAATCGGAAAAATAATACATGTGTGAATACATAGACAAACAGAGTGTCACTAGTATGCCTCTACTTGACTAGCTCATTAATCAAAGATGGTTATGTTTCCTAAACCATGAACAAAAGAGTTGTTATTTGGTTAATGAGATCACATCATTAGAAGAATGATGTGATTGACATGACCCATTCCATTAGCTTAGCACCCGATTGTTTAGTATGTTGCTATTGCTTTCTTCATGACTTATACATGTTCCTATGACTATGAGATTATGCAACCCCCGTTTGCCGGAGGAACACTTTGTGTGCTACCAAACGTCACAACGTAACTGGGTGATTATAAAGGTGCTCTGCAGGTGTCTCCAAAGGTACATGTTGGGTTGGCGTATTTCGAGATTAGGATTTGTCACTCCGATTGTCGGAGAGGTATCTCTGGGCCCTCTCGGTAATGCACATCACCTAAGCCTTGCAAGCAATGCAACTAATGAGTTAGTTGCGAGATGATGTATTACGGAACGAGTAAAGAGACTTGCTGGTAACGAGATTGAACTAGGTATTGAGATACCAACGATCGAATCTCGGGCAAGTAACATACCAATGACAAAGGGAACAACGTATGTTGTTATGCGGTCTGACCGATAAAAGATCTTCGTAGAATATGTGGGAGCCAATATGAGCATCCATGTTCCGCTATTGGTTATTGACCGGATATGTGTCTCGGTCATGTCTACATTGTTCTCGAACACGTAGGGTCCGCACGCTTAAGGTTTCGATGATAGTTATATTATGAGTTTATTAGTTTTGATGTACTGAAGTTAGTTCGGAGTCCCGGATGTGATCACAG